GGATGCACTCAAATATACGGAAAATGTCGTCTTCATATCAATGGACAGTCATAATATGACTGTACATTATGACGTAACTGCTTATTGGAGGAACCTGAAGTGATAACTGAGTAAACTGACAATGCTGTTGGTGAGAGGGGGTAAGGATTTTCTCCGCTTTTACAGTTGACCAGCTTTGAAAATCCTTCCACTCTATAACCAACAACGTTGTCACTTCAGCTTTCGAAAATAAGCAGTTAGGTCATATGAGGATTTTAAGTGTTCATTGCTACGAAGACGACATGTTCCGTACATAGCAGCGCATACAAGTATCTAACCTAAGTAACCAACCTTGGCCGGGTTGGGTCCGGAACGGTACAATATTCAAAGACACAATGAATCAATATGTGCACTGTTCAGTGTTCATGCAATCTAATACTTTTAAGTAACCCTTCATATAAAGAAGAGGTGTCTGGTTCAAAACAGTTACTTTTAAACCTGTATCTGAACGACATCGTGGAAGATATTGTCGTTTTTTAGTTCGAAAAGTTTTTAGTTTGGACACTGTCTTTCATTTTTCAAGTTTAAAGCGAAACCACAGTTTTATATAATCTACTTTAAAATGGAGAATGAAAGTCACTTGAAATTAAAATATACATACGTCTCCAGAGCTGAAAACTTTAGAATGGTGGATATCGGGATTAAGGCTTAATCCACTCTTTTTCTTAATCTGCAGATTAAATATTGCTTGTTGTCCACTCATTTTTAATCTCCAGATTAATTATCCGATCAGGATTAAGGATATCCCATTCAAAAGTTCCCATCTCTGGTTCTTTAAAGTTGTAAATGTACATGTCTTATACTACAAAAAAGTGGGCTTGTAATAATTAAACATTTCAAAGTCAACCCGGTCTTAAAAGTATGTGTAAAAAGTCAAAGGGACTAGAAACACATAGAACATATACATTCTATATATAAATAAATACAATCTGCATACCACCTTTAAGCAGATCCTAATGTCTGCTTGGTCAGGTAGGTGTATGTGTGTGTATATTGTGTGTTTGTGTGCATTGTGTGTAATTGTGGGAGTAACCGTTGGAAGGATTGAACCAAGATGTGTATTTATATTTCTTTCTTCATCTTCTCTAGTATATAATCAGTAGATACTCAGCAATCTTTCTAAGCTACCTACCTGGAGAGACTTTCCTTCCATTTAATGTTTTTTTCATTGACCATTCCTCCTTCCCAGTACCTTTCTGCCCTTCTATCTACCTACCTACCTACCTCCTACCTATATATATCTACTTGTATACCTTTCTACATACCTTTCTATCTATTTTTTCACTTTTATACCTTACCACCTACCTACTTCCTTCCTACCTACCTTCTTACCTACCTTCCAATCTTCTTTCCTACCTTCCTTGTTATCTATTTGCATAACCTCCCATTTACCTACCCACCTACCTCTCTAGGCCTTTATATCTAATTTTCTGCTGGTAAAACCTCCCTTCAACCTTCCTACTTTCCTACCTTCTAATCTATTCAGTTGTATACCTATCTACCTTGACCTACCTTCCTTCTGACCTACATTTCTACTTGTATATCCTCCTAACTACTTACCTACTTATTAAAGTACTTATAAAATCTCATACCTGCTTAACTACTTATAAACTTGTATACCCACCTGCATTACTAAATAGCTACCCGCTTATCTACTTATACCTGCATGCCCATCTACATACCTACGTACAAACCTACCAAGCTACCTACCTACAAACTTGTATACTGCCTATCTACCTACATAGCCTGGCACTTTTCAGTTATTTTTGATCCTCCTTTAGCTCATTAATCTATCTATCTATCTTGATCTAAATCAAAGCATGGTGTTCAATGATAGTTAAGTGTAATTGTCGGTAAAATATCGTAATATGTGGGTTGATATCTACACTGTAGGCTTAGACCAATACAACCTTTGCATTAAGTTTCGAAACCTTAAATACAGGGTTGGTTTTGGTTCATCCCTTTTTATACAGTTGGTCTAGTAGCTACTGCACCTAGTAATCTACCTTATAATCTAAATTCCTGTCTTGTCTGTCTTGTCTGTCTTGTCTGTCTTGTCTGTCTTGTCTGTCTTGTCTGTCTTGTCTGTCTTGTCTGTAATATTACATGTTTCCTAAGGTCACCCTGAGGTTAAAATAAAAATTTTAAGGGATGCTTCTACAAAAAATGTCAAAGTACAAAGTTTAAAAAAAACTTATTTGGCCGAATTAAACCACCCTGTTAGATCTTTAGGGTTCTTAAAAAAAACTTGAACTCCCCTGAATAAACTAGAACTCGTCAAATTTAACCATCATAGTTTTTCCATAAATACTTTAACACCAGTAGACAGCAACCAGAGCTAAAAATAACCTATAACCCTACTTTAACCTTCTTATCTTAGCAAACCTTCAACAGTTCTTGCGGTTGAAGATTCATTTTTCCTTTTTAAGCTGCTCTCCTTTCCCCTAATCAGCTGAAACCTTTTTACATCAAAGAACCATCTCCTCTTTTCCACCCCATCTCCACCATTCACCAAAATATGCCCTTAGAAAGAGGAAATACCATGAAAGATGGATCATTAATAAATTTTAGAAACAATTTCCTTGAAGGGCAAATATATTATTTTTAAACATATTATTAGGTGCATATTTACCGTTTATGCATGATAAAATAAAAATGATGCACGCATGAGTACGGATGGGAACGGTTGAGAAAAGACAAAAGGTTGATCACAGATTAGGAAGGTTCTGCAAAGATAGGAAGGTTGATCATAGATAGAAAGGTTCTGCAGAGATAGGAAGGTTGATCTTATTAGGAAGGTTCTGCAGAGATAGTAAGGATCTGCAAAAATGGACAGCGGTGATCACATATGGTTCAGGTTGATCACAGATGGGTTAAGGTTGATCACAGATGGGTTAAGGTTGATCACAGATGGGTTAAGGTTGATCACAGATGGATTAAGGTTGATCACAAATAGGTTAAGGTTGATCACAATGGGTTAAGGTTGATCACAGATGGGTTAAGGTAGATCACAAATGGGTTAAGGTTGATCACAGATGGGTTAAGGTTGATCACAGATGGGTTAAGGCTGATCACAGATGGGTTAAGGTTGATCACAAATGGGTTAAAGTTGATCACAGATGGGTTAAGGTTGATCACAGATGGGTTAAGGTTGCTCACAGATGGATTAAGGTTGATCACATATGGGTTAAGGCTGATCACAGATGGGTTAAGGCTAATTACAGATGGGTTAAGGTTGATCACAGATAGGTTAAGGTTGATCACACTTGGGTTAAGATTGATCACAGATGGGTTAAGGCTGATTACAGATCGGTTAAGGTTGATCACAAATGGGTTAAGGTTGATCACAGATGGGTTCTGGTTGATCACAAATGGGTTAAGGTTGATCACAAACGGGTTAAGGCTGATCACAAATGGATTTAGGTTGATCACAATTGGGTTAAGGTTGATCACAAATGAGTTAAGGTTGATCACAATTGGGTTAAGGTTGATCACAGATTGGTTAAGGTTGATCACAGATGGGTTAAGGTTGATCACAAATGGGTTAAGGTTGACACAAATAGGTTAATAAGGTTGATCACAGATGGGTTAAGGTTGATCACAAATGGGTTAAGGTTGACCAAAAATGGGTTTCACAGATGGGTTAAGGTTGATCACAAATGGGTTAAGGTTGATCACAAATGGGTTAAGGTTGATCACAAATGGGTTAAGGTTGATCACAGGTTAAGGTTGATCATAGTTGATTAAAGGTTGAGAACAGGTGGTTAAGGTTGATCATGATTGGCGAGGTTGATTACTGATGGTTAAGGTTGATCACAAGTAGGTTCAGGTTGATCGCCGATGTACTATGCTTGAATATTGATGGTTTAGGTTGATCACAAATGGGTTAAGTTTAATCGCAGATAGACTAGGTCGATTACTGAAGGTTAAGGTTGATCATAAATGGGTGAAGAAGATTAATCACAGATAGACTAGGTCGATTACTAAAGGTTAAGGTTGATCAAAAATGGGTTAAGGTTAATTACAGATAGACTATGTTAATTACTGAATGTTAAGGTTGATCACAAATAGGTGAACGTTAATCACAGATAGATTAGGTCGATTACTGATGGTTCAGGTTAAGCACCGATTGTTAAGGAACATAGCTAGGTTGAGCAGAGACGGACAATGGTTGATAACAAATGGGTTATGGTTGATTGCAGATGGGATCAGTTGATCAAAGATTAGCACAGATTATCACAGATAGGCACTTTCAATCACAAACGAGCGTTGTTGGTCACAGATAAGAACAAATCATTACAAATGGGTAAGGTTAATCACAGATATATGGTTGATCACAGATAATATGGTTAATCACAGATATATGGTTCATAATAGATAATATGGTTGATCACAGATAATATGGTTGATCACAGATAGTGTGGTTGATCACAGATAATATGGTTGATCACAGATAATATGGTTGATCACAGATAATATGGTTGATGACAGATAATATGGTTGTTCACAGATAATATGGTTGATCACAGATAATATGGTTGATCACAGATAATATGGTTGATCACAGATAATATGATTGATCACAGATAATATGGTTGATCACAGATAATATGGTTGATCACAGAAAATATGGTTGATCACAAATAACATTACTAATCACAGATAGCATAGTTGATTACAGATCATATGGTTGATCACAGATAGAATAGTTGATCACTGATAAGAATAGCAATCACAGATCACATTGTCAATTACAGATTACATGGTTGTTCACTAATAGGTTAAGCGGCTTTTTTTTATTTTAAAAAGGTTTAGCCCAAATACATAGGATACAGATTGGCACAAACGTGGCGTAAGATTGAGTACGGTAGAGTAGGTTACGTACAGTTAAGTATGAATGGGTACAGTAGACTATAGGTATATTATATTAGCAGAAAGCACGGATTCACATGAACACTGAAATGGTGATTCTTGATTCAGATGAGTACAGTTTATCAAATATGGATGAGTACAGTTTATCAAGTACGGATGCGTACAGTTTATCAAGTACGGATGAGTACAGTTTATCAAGTACGGATGAGTACAGTTTATCAAGTACGGATGAGTATAGTTTATCAAGTATGAATGAGTACAGTTTATCAAGTACGGATGCGTACAGTTATCAAGTACGGATGCGTACAGTTATCAAGTACGGATGTGTACAGTTTATCAAGTACGGATGTGTAAAGTTATTAAGTACGGATGAGTACAGTTTATCAAGTACGGATGAGTACAGTTTATCAAGTACGGATGTGTACAGTTATTAAGTACGGATGAGTACAGTTTATCAAGTACGGATGAGTACAGTTTATCTAGGATGGATAAGTAGAAGGGTACGCATGACGCAGTTAATAAATAATAATGTGTAGGTTAAAAGAAGCTAGTTAGTCGGGTAAACCCTTAGAATTACTTCATAAATCCCGGGAGAAAATTTCAATTTAAACCAAGAATTCTTAAACTCCTCACGGTTTTAGTTCCCACACACACAGATTTAATGTATTCGGTGTATACCGTACACTACATATACGTTTCTAGTATTTCAATTATCTAGAATGTAATGTAAAATCCCGCTTTACTTTCCACTTCTACATGAGATTCATGAGATTCAAGGTTGCAAAAAATTTAATTGTTAAACACAAAAATAACGTCTAAGTCAGAGATAAGAGAGTTATAGAGATCGATTTTCAGCTAAAATATACGATATCTCCACAGCATGTTCTATTGTGTACAAGTACTCTACACGACCAATCAGCCAACATCTGTATTCAGGGATATTTAAGGATCCTTTGGACACGAAAAAGACTGAATTCATAAATGTTTAAAATTGGAGTATTTCTTTAAAAGTTGTAAAACTTAGTCTGTGGTCTAAGTTCTTAAAAATGTTCGAGAAATCGCAAATTCATAGAGAAAACAATTTCAAAAACAGCAGTTTTGTGTCTTCACGATAACGACCCAAACGATTTCTGTGATTAAATGCAAAATTATTCATGTCCATAAATTAAACGAAACGAATGTATATTTAGCATTTAAGATATGAAAGATATCAACATTCAAAAGTGCAAGATTTATATACCTAGATTATATCTTACTTAGATCATTGTCCAAATTGGCCAAAATAGATTTAGTTACACTATTTTATTACTTTATTTCGTCTCAACATGGGAAACTGCGTGAAATCAGGGAAAGTTCCAACAAAACAGCTTCTTAACAAATTTTCCAAATAGTTTTTTTGAAGTTATTATATGTATCTATCTATCTATCTATTTGATTGTTTAACCCTGAGGTCTACCAATCCTCAGAACTAGCTCCTGGAATGTATTTAACCCCCCTGAGGCTGGGGTTGGGCAGCTCGGTTGCCTCAGGGTTAACTGCCGTGTGTAATATCCCAACAAAACTATGGAACACAACAAAAAAAACAATTTAACTTTTTTAAATACAAAATCTTATCTTTTTACTGTGTGAAAGGAAAGTATGTTATGATTTATAAAGTTTTCTGATATTATTTATTTGATAAGCTCTGGGTATAAGAGGGTAGGTATGGAGTGGGAGGGATGGGAAGGGTTAGGAGAAGAGAGGAAGGTTATAATCAAATCTCAAGAAGTTTATCTCACACGCAATGATGCTTTATAAACTCTAGGCATAGATGAAAACAATCATTTCTCAGGCCATGCTAGGCCTAGCTATCTATCTATTCTCAGCCCATGCTAGGCCTAGCTGTCTATCTATTCTCAGGCCATGCTATGCTTAGCTGTCTATCTATTCTCAGCCCATGCTAGGCCTAGCTCTCTATCTATTCTCAGGCCATGCTAGGCCTAGCTGTCTATCTTTTTCTCTGTTTATTTGACCATAAACGAAGAATTCGTCGCGTACTGCAGGGATCTGCAGTGCACTGACCAAATGAACAGTTAATTTTAGCAGAGAGTGATCTATTTATCTGTCTATCTATTTTTGTTTATCTATTTGTCCGTCTATCTGTTTGTCTGTTTATCTATTTGTCAGTCATATATTTGTCTGTTTATCTATTTGCCTGTCTATCTACTTTTCTGTCTATCTATTTGTCTTTCTATTTATTTGTCTGTTTATCTTTTTGTTTACCTATCTTTTTGCCTGTCTATCTTTTAGTCTGTCTATCTATTTTTCTGTCTATATATTTGTCTGTCTATAAATTTGTCGGTCTATAAATTTGTCTGTCTATCTATTTGTCTATTTATATACTTGTCTGTTTATGTATTTGCCTTTCTATCTATTTTCCTGTATATCTTTTTGTGTGTCCATTTCTTTGTCTGTCCATATTTTTGTCTGTGTCTGTCTATTTCTTTGTCTATATTTTTGCCTGTTCATCTATTCGTCTGTCTGCAGGATTTCATTTGTCATGAATTCCTAGACTTCGAAAATGTCCAAAATTTTACAAATTGAACCATAATGAGAGCCACAGTACCTTAAATAGCTTTTTTTGGGACACCCAGTATATATATTGTTCGCGTTAGTTTAGCTTGTAACTCACCTATTTTCTTCAAGTTAAGTAATTACAAGTCAGATTGGGTTGGGATGAGCAATTTTAGATGTTTAAACTAGGCTTTCGCCGAAATGCGATCGATCAAAAGCTTAATCGAATTTCGAACACAGAAATGTAATCGATATTTGTTCAACGCTTGGCTGTCATCATCATTAGATACTATTGAATTGATAATTTTTAATTCTTTATTGTTATTCGATATTTAATTTGACATCTTTAGCTGAAATTAGATAATTTATAATTTCGTCGCCATTCCAAAAAAGCTTTCATCGATGATTTTTCTTGTAATTTGTGTAATTGAATGAAAACTAAAACTTTGAGATAAGCTTGTAATCTGGTTTAATTTAGTGTATACTGCCTGATTTAAGCCTACTGCCTGAATTCAGGTTGGCTTGATGCTTGGTGATGATTCTCAGCATGGTTTCTATCCAATCCATCTTGATCCACTGATACAGAAACTACAATCTCATCAGGCGGTGTGCTTTATTCCCCCTCCCCCTTCTATACACTCCCCTACAGGGGGCCTCAACCCCCCTATGTAAGGACAAGTAGCCCCACCCCCCTGGAGTGTGCCAGGCAGGGGGTAACTGACCCAAACCAAAAATTTGACTATTTGATGAAAAACTGCAGGGGTCTGAAACTTTGCTGACGGATAAACAATTTTCAAGATTAAAGTTAAGTCTAGATAATATCTAGTCCTTGCTCCTTAGATTTGTACGGTTGTTTTAGAAACCTGGATAATTATTAAAGAAAGAAATTGAGTCTTTGCCACAAACTCTGATTTTCTAATCCCTGTATCTTTGGATTACAACGTCGTAAACCTTTGACATTTCAAACTATGACTTTTGTTAGATCAAACAATAGAAGTTTGAAATATCAAAGGTTTACGACATTGGGTTCCAAAGATATTGGGATTAGAAAATCAGAGTTTGTGGCAAAGACTCAATTCCTTTGTATATTTGTTTAAGAAATCCGGATAATAGCTACTCCTCGTACTAGAAATATGGATATTATCTAGTCCTCGTATTAGAAATATGGATATTATCTAGTCCTCGTACTAGAAATATGGATATTATCTAGTCCTCGTACTTGAAATATGGATATTATCTAGTCCTTGTATTAGAAATATGGATATTATCTAGTCCATGTACTAGAAATATGGATAGAATCTAGTCCTTGTACTAGAAATATGGAAAGCATCTAGTCCTTGTACTAGAAATATGGATTGAATCTAGTCCTTGTACTAGAAATATCAAAGAATCTAGTCCTTGTACTAGAAATCTGGATAGCATATAGTCCTTGTTCAAGAAAGTTGAATTAGATCTAAATTCTTAATAATTACTAGTCCTTGTTTCAGAAATCTTGATGATCGTTAAACAGATATCTAGTCCTTTTTCAACTGGCACTTTAGTAGATTCCTGAAATATTTATTACTACCAAGATTACTATGGTAAAATTCATGCATAAAAATACACAATATTTCTATCCACGTCTTTAAGATTGAATGCTAAAATTAAAAGTTATTTTCATAGCCTTCAGGCGAGGGTTGAAGTTAAAGGAATTATATAAAGGAAGTATAATCAGTATCAAGTATTTAGATGACAATAAACTAGGGAAGGACCACACCGACACAGATATTCACAGAATACTTTCTTAGAATAGAGAGACGTTCCGACAAGGTTTAGGTTCAGGTTCCGACAATATCTAGGTCCTCTACACTATTGTACAATAGAAGTCTGCCCCAACCACAGAACACGGACAAAGGGACTTAATAGACAACCAGGATCAGAGAATAAAGAACTGAAGAACTGAAGAACTAGAAAGCAGGAGAATGGGCGGGCTAGATAGATGAAAAATTGAGATTTACAGAACAAGAGAACTAGATAACCAGAGAACTAGAGAACTAGAAAACTAGAGAACTAGAGAACTGGAGAACTGGAGAACTAGAGAATTAAATAACTAGATAACTATTGAACTAGAGAACTAGAGAACTAGAGAAATAGAGAACTAGAGAAATAGAGAACTAGAGAACTAGAGAACTAAAGAAATAGAGAACTAGAGAACTAGAGAACAAGATAACTAGATAACTAGATAACTGGAGAATTAGAGAACTAGAGAACTAGAGAACTAGAGAAATGGAGAACTAGATAACTAGAGAACTAAAAACTAGAGAACTGGAGAACTAGAAAACAAGAGAATTAGAGAACTAGAGAACTGGAGAACTGGAGAACCGGAGAACTAGAGAACTAGATAACTAGAGAAATAGAGAACAAGATAACCAAAGAACTAGAGAACTAGAGAACTTAAGAGCTTGAGAACAGGAGAACTAAAGAACTAAAGAACAGGAGAACTAAAGAGCTAGAAAACTAGATCACTGGAGAAAGCTAGAGATCTGGAAAATCAGAAAAGTTTAAAACTTGGGAGAACTTGAACTTTGATAATTAAAGAAGGTGTAACCTAGAGAACTTTAAAAACAAGAACTAGAGAACCCATTAACTAGGTAACCAATAAAGTTAAAAATAAAGAATCACAAAACACTTCTGTAAGTTAAAGTAAGGTTGAATAGATACTGAATAAAAGGGTTGAATAGAAGTGACGAATTACTTGTCAATTTCTATTTCAACCCAAACCTGTCATATCTTCAGAATGATAACAACCAAGAAGTTGAAAATTTTTTCCAAATCTTTTTAGGCTATTTATTCTTGTTAACTTCAATTATTTTTGTCAGCCTTTTTTGTTTAAATTTACACTTTCTATGATTCATAACTATTTTAGTTTAAGTAGGCCTCATTAACTATAAATAAAAAACAACATATTTTTATAACAATTTATTTATCTATACAATACTATCACAGAAAGAGTAGAAAATTATGTATCATTTGATAATTTATTTTGCAAGAATATCATCAATACCAAATCTTGTAAATCTTGAAACTTTATAATCTGTCTCTATGAGTTCTTGTTTAATTGGTTTAGTATCTGGGTATACTTGGATACTAATTGTAGACCGCGTCATACACACAGATCCATCATTCTTCAATCTCAGAGCAATAAGAGCTAGTTCTTTAGGTTTTAGTTCAGTGTGGGTTTGAAGATGATTTCTCAAGTTTGATCTTTGATTAAATGATAAATTACAGATTGGACATGAAATAATATTCATTTTTCTCTCTGTAATGTTATGAATATATAAACTTCTAGCTTGGCTGAATCCTTTTCCACAATCATGGCAGCTGTGTGGTTTCTCTTTAGTATGTGTATACATGTGATCTCTCAGATGATCTTGTCTTCTGAACGCTTTACCACAAACATCACAAGGATACGGTCTTTCATCAGTGTGAGTTCTCTCATGGATCAGAAGATTGTAGGATTTAGTAAACTCACGGTTACAGAACTTACAGATAAACCTTTTCTTAGGTTTTCCGGTCATCTTAGTGCTGGTGTTCATCATGGAGTTCAACAGGAGGTAGGAGGACAGGGAGGTGGGGGAATAGGGAGAGCTGAAGGAGTAGGGGGAGAAGCCGGAGGGGGAGGTAGGAGGAGAGGAGGGGGAGTGTGGAGGGGAGGGGGGTAGAGAGTATATTGGAGCTTGAATGTACATGACTGATCTGTTTGCTGACCAAAGGTCTACTGAAACTACTGAAGGATAGGATTGACCAGTAAACCTCCCTAGTCACAACTCTCCGCTCATCCGACCAATGAGAGCAGAGCACCAATATAAACAGCCAATCACAGCGCAGCAGTCAGAATGTGGGAACACAAGTTCGGTCAGATCAAAATTAGTTTCTTGTCCCGGCCTTGATTACATCTTTAACTCTTTTTCCGCGACCTATTTGATTTAGAAATTATATCACATTTTCATTTTATTTAACATCACACACTTTCCTACACAACAGTTCTTTTATTTCTTCTTTTCAAAGGAAAACAGCTCAAAGGTTATCATCTCTTTGAAAACATTAAACCTGTCATTATCTCATGTATTTCACGGTTTCAAATTGAAAATAACAACATTTTGAACTTTACGCATTTTCACAGACGATTTTAGTTGTTTATCTTAAACCACTACTGTAAACGCAACAATAAAACAATAAAGGAAAATGCTACAACAAAAATCGACTTATCTTAGTTCCATCAAACCAACTAAGAATGTTTTTTTTAAATTATACATGAAAAGTATTTATCTATATTTATAAAGTAGTAGATTTAAGCTGGCTTCCCAAGCTAGTTATGAATAAAAAATAGCCGTAGATCCATCAGAAAACTTAACAAGAATTCTCAAAAAAAAACTGAGAGATATTTTACATTAAACCTTCCAAGAATTCTTTAAAAAAAGTTGAAAAATTCTTTGGTAAGACCAAAAACTGCAGTTAAGTGCGTAGTATTTATTGATGATGCACGTGTTATAGAAATCAATAGACTTGATCAACATATCTTTTATTATTTTAATATTTTAAAATCTCAATAGAATAATATTATAAAGGAACTCTTGCCACAACCTAAATAGACTTAATCAACATTTCTTTTATTATTTTAATATTTTAAAATGTCAATAGAATAATATTATAAAGGAACTCTTGCCACAACCTAAATTTTTCTCAACCCTATTCTTTTTAATCTGATGGTGCAAACCTTTGATATCACAACTATTTTATAGTTTAAAATATCAAAGGTCTACGACATCAAGCTGCAAAGATAGAGGGATTAAAAAACCAGAGTTTGTGGCGAAAACTCAGTTCTTTTAATTAAAAATAAGTTGATATGAAAAAAAATATTTTATCTTATCTTATAGGATTGAAGTATTTCAAAAGAAAAACTTAAAAGAGGAAATTTAAGCGTCTATAAATTCTTTATTGACTTTTAAACTGTTTTCCTCAGAACTCTTTATGAAAGAAGGAGCATTGAGTTGAATTGATTTTGAATGACTGATCAATGTTTGAAAAGGTTTTTTTAATCCCAGCTCAAACGTCTTTAAGTTCGCGTACCTTCAATATTCATTAATCTATCTATCCATCTATCCATCTATCCATCCTTTCATCTATCTATCTATCTATCTATCTATCCATCCATCTATCCATCCTTCCATCTATCCATCTATTCATCTATCCATATATCCATCTATTCATCTATCCATCTATCTATCTATCCATCTATCTATCCATCCTTCCATCTATCCATCTATTCATCTATCCATCTACCTGCCTATAAAGAAGAGTATATGTTTAACTCTTCAGTAAAGAGTGTAATGATACCCCTTGTGTAAACTGTCTTGACTACTTTTAAACCTAAACTTAAACCCAACCCAACCTAATCTGTCCCCTCTACTGTTATATATATAAACCCAACCCAACCTAATCTGTCCCCTCTATTGTAATATATAAACCCAACCCAACCTAATCTGTCCCCTCTACTGTTATATATAAACCCAACCCAACCTAATCTGTCCCCTCTACTGTTATATATAAACCCAACCCAACCTAATCTGTCCCCTCTACTGTTATATATATAAACCCAACCCATCTGTCCCCTCTACTGTAATTTATAAACCCAACCCAACCTAATCTCTCCCCTCTACTGTTATATATATATAAACCCAACCTAACCTAATCTGTCTCCTCTACTGTTATATATATAAACCCAAACCAACCTAATCTGTCCCCTCTACTGTTATATATATAAACCCAAACCAACCTAATCTGTCCCCTCTACTGTTTTATATATAAACCCAACCCAACCTAATCTGTCCCCTCTACTGCTTTATATTTAAACCCAACCCAACCGAATCTGTCCCCTCTACTGTTATATATTTAAACCCAACCTAACCTAATTTGCCTCCTCCACTGTTATATATAAACCCAACCTAACCTAATCTAACCCCTCTACTGTTATATAAAAACCCAACCCAACCGAATCTGTCCCCTCTACTGATATATATAAACCCAACCCAACCTAATCTGTCCCCTCTACTGTTATACTGTTATATATAAACCCAACCTAACCTAATCTAACCCCTCTACTGTTATATAAAAACCCAACCCAACCGAATCTGTCCCCTCTACTGATATATATAAACCCAACCCAACCTAATCTGTCCCCTCTACTGTTATATATATAAACCCAACCTAACCGAATCTGTCCCCTCTACTGTTATATATAAATCCAACCCAACCGAATCTGTCCCCTCTACTGTTATATATAAACCCAACCCAACCTAATCTGTCCCCTCTACTGTTATATATAAATCCAACCCAACCGAATCTGTCCCCTCTACTGTTATATATAAACCCAACCCAACCTAATCTGTCTCCCCTACTGACTGTTATATATAAACCCAACCCAACTTAATATCTATCTAGCTATCTATCTAGTTCCTTTATCTATCTAACTAATTCCTGTAAACTTATCTATCTGACTGTCAAGTTCCTGTAAATCTATATATTCTTCTATCTATCTATCTATCTATTTACCTGTAAATCTATATATTCTTCTATCTATCTATCTATCTATTTACCTGTAAATCTATATATATCTATCTATCTAGCAAATTCCTACAAAACCTGTAAATTTATCTATCTGTCTATCAAGTTTCTGTAAATCTATATATTCATCTATCTACATATCTATCAAATTCTACTCTAGTTCCATGTAACTCTATCCATATATCTATCGAGTTCCTGTAAATCTATCTACCTATCTAACTATCTTCCAGTAAATCTTTCCATCTATTTATCAAGTTCCTGTAAATATATCTACATATTTAACTATCTTCCATTAAATCTATCTTTCTATTCATCTATCTAGTTCCTGTAAATCTGTTTGCTATGATGACTGTTTATATTGCTTGACAAATACCCTGTACAATATACATTCATTAAACAAATCAACCTAGATAGTATTATTCGCTACAGTACAGGGTGAATCAAGTAATATGGGATTTAATACATCACAATATAAAGTTATCTTGACCCCAGGCCATATGTGATAATTTGATTTCTACAACTAACCTTGCTTGAAACTGTAATCGGGATTTTCAAATTTTGCTTTCTAATTAAAAAAAATGTTATCATATTTTTCTTGAAGTTTGGAATTTGTTCTTGCTGGTCTCTTTTCTTTTTATTGTTTGTTCCTTAATTTTTCAGTTTCTAGAATGTTTTTCATCTTCTACTTAGTTAGCAACGTGTCGGTAAGATGTTAGCATGTGTATTGATTTGTCTTGTTCTTGGTTTTTCCGTTTGTCTGTTGGTCTTTTTTTGCATTTTCCTTTTTTTTATTTGCCTGCTCTTTTTTTATTTTTTACTTTTTCTTTTCTTCTGTTTTGTTTTTGATTTGCCTGCTCTGTTTTTGATTTGCCTGCTCTGTTTGTGATTTGCCTGCTCTGTTTGTGATTTGCCTCCTCTCTTTTTTTATTTTCCTGTCCTGTTTTTATTTTCCTGCTTTGTTTTTTTATTTTCCTGACCTGTTTTTTATTTTCCTGCTCTGTTTTTTATTTTCCTGATCTGTTTGATTTTCCTGCTCTGTTTATTCATTTTCCTGCTCTTTATTTTATTTTCCTGCTCTGTTTTTTTATTTTCCTGCTCTGCTTTTTATTTTCCTGCTCTGTTTTTTTTATTTTCCTGCTCTGTTTTTTTTATTTTCCTGCTCTGTTTTTTATTTTCCTGCTCTGTTTTTTTAGTTTCCTGCTCTGTTTTTTTAGTTTCCTGCTCTGTTTTTTTTATTTTCCTGCTCTGTTTTTAATTTTCCTGCTCTGTCTTGTATTTTCATGCTCTGTTTTTAGTTTCCTGCTCTGTTTTTTAGTTTCCTGCTCTGTTTTTTCATTTTCCTGCTCAGTTTTTTTTTAGTTTCCTGGTCTGTTTTTTATCTTCAGATAGTTAGTCTGTTTGTTTCAATCTTATTGTTTTTTTCATCTTTCTTTCAAGAAAATATTTAAAATTTAATTCGGGCTTGATTTATAGATTTTTTATTTTGTAACTGTTAAAAAACTTTTTTTTACAAATTTTACCAATATTATTAGACCACCACTGTTCCTCCTCTTCTTTCTTCTCCCTCCTCCCTACTATTTCTCAAGCCAATATAATAACACAGCTGTCGATACTTTATATGTTGCCTTGATGCTTAACCCACTATAGCTGCCATTAATACCGGGTAATTATAGAAAATTAAATAAAATTATTCCCCCGCTACCGGGCTTATTTCCACCCAACCCTTATATTTTATTAAATCAGGGAAAATATTACTTTAAAAAAATTTTATTCCAATTTTATATTTTTATCCCAAAAATATTTTTAAATCTTTTTATAAAACATTTAAATTTTAAGGGAACAAATATATTGCACTGATTAAATATATAATTATAGGTATAAAAATACCCTTTGAGAAAAGGTTGGTTAGGTCCATGAGAACCTAGATATAATGTTCCATACTGAATTCATTAAAAGCTTTCTAGGCTTTCTTTCCCCGCCATAATCTATCTTAGAAGGATCTGTTTTAAATAAACGATTTTTCATTGAAAATATATATTTTCACACACATTTACCAACTCTTAAACCTAAACATAGTTTTGTATTTATTCCCAGCCTAAACCAGATCTTTCATCGATAACAAACATCTCGGAATGACTTAAAGATTGACTTCAGAAAAAAACGAGAGAAAAAAATAAAAAGTTGATTATTTCTATATTTTCCTTTA